CATGTGTTTGCAGGAGCCGGGGGCGGGGGCTGCCCCGCGGGCGGCGGCGACTTCCAGTGGTGCTTCTCGCAGGTGAAGGGGGCCATCGACGAGGATGTGGCGGAAGGTAAGGTCCGGCCCGGCTCGCACCTCCCGGTGTGGCGGGCACGTCCCGGCGCGCGGCCCCGCCTCGGCTTCCGCGTGGTCCCGCTGGTGCAGTGCCGTCCGCGCGGATCCGGCGCCCGGCCTTGGAGCCTCCGGCCGCGACCGCATCTCGGGCCCCGAGAGGGAGCGCCCCGAGCAGGTTCCGGCCTCCCACGCTCGCGGGCCTGGGGACGGGGGACAGGCCAGGGGTTCAGGCCCGGGGGGGATGACAGGCCTGTGGGTGTCAGGCCCGGGGACACAGGTCGAGGGGCTCACACCCGGGAGGGGCAGGCTGGGGGCTCAGGCCCGGGGGGCGGGAAGACAGGCCTGAGGGAGTCGGACGCAGGGGATCAGGCTCGGGGGCTCACACCCGGGAGGGACAGGCTGGGGGGCTCGGGTCCGAGGGGGACAGGCCGGGGAGGGCGGCCCAGGGGGCACAGGCCTGGGGTTCAGGCCCAGGGGGCGGGAGAGTCGAACGCAGGCAATCAGGCTCGGGGGCACAGGTCGAGGCGATCAAACCCGGGGGGGGAAGGGTTGGCACAGGCGGGGGTGCCCAGGGCCGACGGGGAAAGGCCGGGACTCGCCTCGCGCCCCGGGACCACGCTCCCCTTCCTGCCTGGTGGCCGTGGTGGCTCGAGGAGTCGGCCCCGTGGGAACCGATGCGGTGGGGCGCTGTTCTGTACGCGATGGTTTCTGAGTGCGCTCATGGCCGTGTCGTTTTTAATGGCATCCTGGTCAAGAAGGAGGAGTTATGTAAGGAGCCCAAGGTCACAGACCTGGGGAGTGGTGGAGCCTGGACAAGAACGCGGGTCTTCTGAACCCAGTTCTGGGTTCTTTGAAATGGAAGTGGCTGCTGCTTTCTGTGTTTGGTGGAACTAAGAAAATAACTGCAGAAATGGAGAACTCAGGATGTATCAAACGGGCTGACTGTACTTGTGAGCTAGGTAGGGGCTGCAGTTCTAGACCCAGGCGAGGTCTTTCATCACCTGTCTTTTTGCCTGTTCTTCATCTTTAAAATGAGACTTTGTCTACTGGGTTCTTAAGGCCGCTTTCCAGGATTCTAAAATTTTTAATTTTACTACAAATCTCGGCGTCTTTCCCATTTCTACTGCAGGTTTTAATCTTGAACGTCATGGCATTACTTTAAATTGGCGGGGAGTTGTGTCAGAGTAGCCAAGGTTCAGAGTTTCAGGGCTGTGGGCAGGAAACTGGGAAAGTGTCCCCTGCCTCACTCAGCTTCCCATGAAGCTGCACGTCATCTCAAAGGAAAAAAAAAACATACTTTTCTTTATGAATAATAGAGTGTAAAAATGATTTTTAGAGACTGAGAGGTTTAACATTTTAGTTTCAGAATAACAGAGTGACTTGTTTTGTTGTTCACCCATCTTACTGGACATTGTGAGCCTTTCACCTTTCAAGAATGAATCGTCATTGGCTGATGCTTTGCACCAAGTTCATCTTCCCTGCCCCGAGTTTGTCTTGCCTGCCCCGAGGAACCAACAACCTCCGGCTGACTTCCCTCCACCTTGGCTCTTCTGTGGCCTTTGCTCCCTCTGCCTTCACCCCGTACCTCTCCTTGGCAGTGTCTCCTTTGACGCATGACCCTAGGGGACATCTGTGAGCCTTGGCCCGTGGGACAAGTGCCCAGGTGGTTAAGCATGTACAGTTGTGCTGTCAGAAGTTTGTCAGGCTGTGTGGTTTTGGGTTGAAACTACGGGATTTTATATAGTCTCAGTAAGCATGCAGATTCTGTTTTTTTTGTATCGATTTAAAGTAGATTACTTTTTGTTGTTTCATTTCACATGTGTTTGCAGTCTTAAACCCCTACTTTGAGTAGAAATTTGAATTGAGCTAGGAGTTTCGTATTTTGAGTTGTCGTATTTTTGGTGTCTTTGCTTTGCATTATGGTGCAGGTCCCGAACCTTTGTCTGTTAGCCCACACAGAGGGTCAGTCACCCGTCAGGGTTAGCCCATTCCTAAGTCTTCTTTGTCACATGGTTGTGATAGCGGGAGTTTGAATTGCATTAACAGAAATTGACAGTAACTAGGAAAAATGCAATCTTTAGCTACTGGTGATTTTTAAGCAACACAAAGAAAGAAGCTGGTGGAATGCTTTGCAGAATTTCTGGCCCAAACTCAACCTTGATGAAGACATTTTGACAAGAGTTACTAGGAGATCGGTAGGTAGCTCGAGGGAGGTTCTAAGCTTTGACTGTAGGACTTGGGGTGCGCTACAGTCTGTCTAGATGCGTGGCTCTGAGGCGTGTCTGTAAGGCTTTTTTCTGGCCTCAGCTTTACTTCCAGTCAACCTTAACCCTACACTTTAGACCGTGTTTCTGCATTCCCTTGGGATGGGTGATAAGATGGAGCATTAGAAATTGAGGCCCAAGACTGCGCCTCTGTTCAGTAAGAGCAGTATCTACAGAGGTGGAGGGGTGGGGGCAGGGGGAGTTCAAAATAGGCACCGTCGACTTTGAAGATTGTAGAGTGAATAAAAGACAGGCCTTTGTTTTTCAACCAATGGTTTTGGGGCGGCATTAATCATAGCTCCTGGTGAGAGTGCTGACTGTCAGCTGGGATGCTGTATAAGGGCAGGCCAGCCAAGGTGCTGCTCCGGCAGCACTTTCCCGTCTCTGCTGGTAGGCATGGACCAGGAGGCGAGTATTTGTCCTGCCGGGGACAAGACGCGGGAGTGGCAGTCAGTGGTGACTCACCTCTCCTACCCCTTCGGCAGGCTGGCTGTGAATACTCTGGGAGGCGGACTAGGCGACCTTTTAGGCCTGAATAAGCAAAAGTTGAAAGAAGCAGTAAAACCAGCGAGGCTTCCAGAGTAAGCAAGGAGAGAAGTTGTTACGTGTGTGCTAAGCAGTGACTGCACGTCCGTGTGCAGAGTTTTCATGTGGGATGTTTGGTGACCTCCACCCAGCTCTGCCCCCTGCTCTGGACGTACTTTCCCTGGGTGAGCCTGCCCCCCCGGGTGATCCTTCCCTGGGTGAGCCTGCCCCCCCGGGTGAGCCTTCCCTGGGTGAGCCTGCCCCGGGTGAGCCTGCAGATAACATACTGTGTTACATCCTCTGTCTATGCCTGCTCTGATAGACTGCAAGGCTGGGTTTTTGCCTCCTCTCCCACTTCCATCTCCATTAGCACCTTGTAGAAGATCCAGCATGGAGATAGTGATCACTAACAGTTGAGTCTTACTGTGTCCCAGAAGTTGCTCCAGAAGCTCTACGTGTGTCGGTTAATTTAATCCCCACACAACCCCAGGAAGGAGGAGCCATTGCTCTCCCCCGTTTCAGGTGCAGAAACCAAGGCGCAGAAGGTCGTCCGCTTCCCACGGTTACACGGCCACTATGTGGCAGAGCCAGGGTTTGAAGCCAGGCCAGCTGGCAGCTGCGCTGCCTCAGTGAGTGTGTGCAGCCAAGACAGGTCCAGCCCTGCCGTGGGGTGCGGCTGCCTGGCCACTGGGTCCTGCTGGTGCTCAGTGGTGCTCTCGCCCCAGGAAGCGTGGGAAAAGTGCCCTTGAAAACAAGTGGGGACGAGATGCTGTTAAAGAAGTGCCTGTGAGAATGGTAGGTCAGTAACAGGGTTCGGGTGGCATCTTTTCAGAACACTTCTCGGAGCATTTGAAGAGTAGGTGTCAGAGGCAGTTCGTCGCACACACTGCAGTGGACTACCTGCAAAGGTATCTTGACACCGTTGCCACTTGCTTGCCGCCAGGGAAGCTTCGGGTTTCCGGGGAGAGGTCGGAGGAGGGGCTTGCGTTCGGCTCTTACCTGGTTTGTACGACTTGGTGTTGCTTGATGGCAGCTGTTCCTTTCATCTCAGGATTTGTAGTTCAAGTGTCTTCGCTCTTTATTTGATTATCTGGTTTTAATCAACTTCTTAATCCATGATCCAGTCTGTTGCTTTGAATCAGACATTAACGTTTTTCTAAAGAAATAAAATTAAACAGTTAAAGGTTTGTCTGCGTAACTCAGACTTGCGTCTGGGGAGTCGTGTAAATAATATGAACATGTGGCTAATCTGGTAGAGTAAATCCTAGTTATATCCCGAGTTTACATGTGCCGTCAAGTCGGTTCCAACTCAGGGCAAGCCTGTGTAGTGCAGAAGAGAACACTGCCTGGTCCTGCCCTGTGGTAGGATGGATCACTTGTGTGTGGCTTTTCTTACCATGGTCTTGTAGGTCACTTGTAAGTCACTTGGGTGGGACTGTGCAAATAAGGTAATTGTGGCCCACCAAAGGGATTGGTCAGTTTTGCCATCCCACTGGGCTTGAAATGAGCCATCGCAGAAGTCAAAGCGGAGGATCTCACCATAAAGTCCAGCAGGAGAGGCTACCAAGAGACAGCACAGTGGGCTTCATGGCTCACGGAGCGAGAAAGCTGAGTGCCTTTGGGCTGAGGCTTACTGGCAGAGCTAAAGGAGCTTCGTAGCGCTTGCCTGAGCAGGGCAGAGGCAGAAGGGCCAGAGAGAGGCGTGCCTGCGAGCACAGCTGGGAAGAGGCTGTCCTAATGGAAGAACTATATCCTGAGTGTACCTGAGCCTGAACTGTAACCTATTACTTCCCTAATTAACCCCATAATCGTGAGTATTGTCTGTGAGTTCTGTGTGGCCTTTGCAGTGAATTATTGAACCCAGCACGGAAGTAAAGAGTGCCATGGGAGGGACGGTTGGTGTCAGAATTGGTAGAGATGGCAAGAGAAAAGCCATGTCTGATCTCTGCCTCATAGAAATCAGCCTTGGGCTGTTGATCTTGATTCTCCTTCTCCCTTTTGAAGTTAGAGGTCAGACGCTGCCCCCATGCCATTTATACATGCACCATCCTCACAGTGATTGCTGTGTGAGCCCGTTGTTGCAGCCACTGTGTCAGTCCATCTCATTGAGGGTCTTCCTCTTATTCACTGACCCTCTACCTTACCAAGCATGATGACCTTCTCCAGTGACTGATCTCTCCTGATAACATGTCCAAAGTATGTAAAACAT